CTGGCAAGCGCAAGGTCGTGAGTTTGGTTCCTGGTACCGGAGAAAAAACAAAAAACAAAGAACAAAAAAAAAATAAATACCTTAAGTGTCAAGGAACTATTAACATAACTAAATCCTATATCAGTTCTTAAAGAATTTAAAAAGTGGAAATGTACTCACAGCTTGAAATAGGTGATTAAAAAAACATACAATGGACCAGGAACAAAATTTTACATGTGCATAAAACATTTCCCTCATTTATCTACTAAAATACTTACCAAACGCTAACTATATGTGGATTATGTTATAAGCACAGGTCATACTGCAGTAAACAAAATTTGACCAAAAATCATACTTTTATCTTCTAAAATTTAGAAAACTTAGAACGCATTGGAAATTAAATGGCATCTACAATTGCCAACATGCAAATACGGTATAATAAAATATCTTTCATCACTTAAAGTTACTAATTACTAGCCAGAAATAAAACATCTCAATTTTTTCTACTAAAGTGAAAATGTTTACTGATAAAAGTAAATATGGCCATAAAATATAAAAGAATTGCTAGGCTTTGTTTATTAAAAAGTTTGGCAATTTTAGACCATTTAATCAATATGAACTCAGAAACAAACTGTTAATATTAAATTGACATTATATCTCTGTATATATACATATTTATATAACCTTAAGAAAGAGTTGAAAAGCACACATAAATATTTCCAGAAGCACCCACTGTAGGGGAGAAGGGATACAGTCAGCCAGAAGAAAACATATCTTTCTTTATAATATATAATTATTTCAAATAGAGTCTGAGCTATTTATTATGTTTCCGCATTTTATTGCACTTGTCAAATTTTCAAAAAGGCAGATGTGGACAAAATTTGTAAAGTAAGAGTAGTAAGATAATCTATAGAAAAACCTAAAATTTTCCCATTAGATGAATAAAAAAGTTCTACAAATCAAATAGTATTACAAAACATGGCTGCAAAATTAAGCAAGCCTAGTGAATGCCTGAAGGTAAGTAGACAAGTGGAGAAAGCCCAGAGCAGAGCACATTTACATAGTCTACAAACACCACAGATTGGGGCTGGAGATTTAGCTCAGCGGCAAAGCACCTGCCTGGCAAGCGCAAGGTCATGAGTTTGATTCCCAGTACGGGGGTGCTGAGGTGGGAAACACCACAGAGGCAGGCAGCGGAGAAACCTACTTCAGAATCAAATGGGTGAAAACTTTTTCTGGGCTCAGAGCCCAGATAAAGATGTCGATGTATCTTGGTAATCTCTGGCTAACCATCGGTAAAAGAGTACTTTCCTTGTGGTTTGGATAACTTTAAATTGAGTTTTAAAAACTCTTATTATTCTAACCTGGGAAGTTTTAGTTCAGTTTGGGGGAGATAACTGGAAATTTGTGTCCCTCAAGGAGAAAAAAAAGATACTGACAATGACAACAACTGGTTACTCACAATTTTAATTTTTGTACATAAACTAAAGGTGTCAGTCATACTTAACAAAAATGACTCTTTGAGGACTTTTTATACTCCAAAGGTGATTATTTCTTTCTTCTATAACTTTTATTGGTACATTTTAAGAATTATTTTATATACCATTCACTTTCCAGCAAATATACAGATGAGATGAGAAGTTAATTTTTAAAAATGCACTGGCATTCAACAACCGTCTCACTCCATGGAAAACAAAATGACAGGATAAAATATTATTGTTGTCATCATTAGCTGTTTAACATCAGGAGCTAGTCAGACTTCTACATATTATGTTGTCTGCATTTTCAAAACTGTAGTGCCGTATGTTACCTGTACTGTTCAAAACGTCCTCCGGGCCGGATGCTTGCAGCTCGGTCATTGGGAAAGGCCGTCAGTGCACCTTCCACGGATTTTTCATTTGACTCATGGTCATGAAGGTGTGT